GACCCAAAAATTCCCTTGAAAAATCTTTTTATCCTGATATCAGAGTATATCTCAGGACCAGCTATTTGAGATAAAGCAGATCGATGACAGTTGAGTGTTCCATAAGAAGCACCATTTTTAAAATGATATGTTAGAAATTCCCTAACATCTGGAACATTTACATTAAATGGATTCAATTTTTTTAAGGTAGAGTTGGTAATGGATGATATGCAAATGTCTAAAGAGTCTTGAGGTACGGATCTTCGCAGTAGCGCTTCAGGGATAACTTCCCTGCTGCCAGGAAAAGGCTGTCTGACAAGGGATGGGGAGTCCCGCTGAAAGAAAGGAAGGCTTCTTTAGGTTTGAAAATTCAGGGTTCTTGAACTAATAATATTTGATAAATGGGGTACCAGGGTTGAGATACCCACATCGGTATAACCACAATGCCCTATCATTGATAATTTTTTGCAGTACTTTTGAAACCAAGGAAAAGGGTGGGAATGCATAGAAGTATAACTTTGACCAGTCTAATGTGAAGGCATCGACTTGAAAGGCTTCCGGATCTCTCATCCAGGATACAAAGGTTGGACACTTTTTATTTAAGCGGCTAGCAAAGAGATCAATGGTGGGGTTATCAAATGTTTTCTTTATCTTTCCTAATGCATAGTTAGAAATAGTCCATTCTGTTTCCTTACGAATCTCTCTTGATGCCTTGTCTGCGTGAACGTTTTCTTTTGAGGGTATATAAGAGGCAAATATGTATAAGTCTCTATCCTGGCACCAAGTCCAGATTTTTCTTGCCAAATTATTCAGATTTCTATATTTAACACTTCCCATTCGACTGATGGTGCATATTGAGGTAGTATTATCTATTCTGCATAAAATATTACAATTTCGAAGATGTTTTGTATAGCATTTCAGACCAAAAAATAAGGCTAATAGTTCTAGTTCATTGATATGAGAGTATTTATCCTCTTCTGACCAAAAACCGTAGGTGGTGCCATCATTGAAATACGTGCCCCATCCTGATGTCGAAGCATCAGTAAATATTTCTAATTAGAACTTCTTCGAGTCAATTGAGTTGGCAGAATTCTTTACACTACTACTCCACCATCTAAAATCAGAAGAAAGGCTTTTTGGGGATAGACATTTTTGCCTCATAATTTCCTCTAGCCTTTGCCAAAGCCAAAAACTTTTGGCGTTCGAATAATTTCAAATATAGAAAGCTATATTTGATTGCAGGTGCCACTGACACTAATGTTCCAATGAACTTCGAAAATTCACGAATTGTACATTCTTTTAATGACTGAAACTTATTCAAAAGCTTAAAAACTCTAATTTGTTTGTCTTCCTGTAAGGAAATTGACAGATTCTGTGAATTATACAGAAAACCTAGATACCGACATATCTGATTTGGATTCAAGTTGCTTTTTTCATAATTTATCAGAAAACCTAAGTGCTCTAAAAATCTCAACGTTTCTCTCACATTATTTTCGCACTCTTCTTTGTTTCTTCCTAAGAGGGTTTCATAATTTTTGTGAATATATATATAATGTGCACAGCTTAAACCAAAGGGTAAACAGTTGTACTCATATAAGCGATTATTAAAACTGAATCTTAGGTATTTTCTATGAGTTTTTTTTTTTTTTAATAGGCACTAGATAGTATGCATTTTTTAAATCTATAGTAGCCATGAAAGCATTAGGTGTGATTAGATGAGCAACGGTTCTGTAATCTTCAATTTTAAAGTGAGATGTGTGTACAAAGTGATTGAATCTTTTTAGTTTTATGATTAATCTGTAGGAGCCATCTGACTTAGGGACGGTGAAAATGTTAGAGAGAAATTGATTTTCCCTTGGGATTACAGGACAAATAGTTCCATCTTTGATTGACTCCAGAATTAAGCTACTAATAGTGTTATATCCTTTTTTAGAACGCTTTGGTTCTGATGGTGCAACTGTTTGTCTTGGTAAGGCATGTAAAGGTATTCTAAGACCCTTAATATATGAAAGAATTTTTTTGTTAGAAGAAAGATGTCTCCATCTTTTTACGAAGTACGTCAACCTTCCACAAGGTTTACTGACCTCTAAGATTGAAGTCGACTTCTCTTGTCGCTCTGTCGGTCCTGCCTTCCGGGTCGATGTCGACGAGACTTGTTGTACTGGTAACTCCTTTGGTGACTGGTAGGCACATGAAGTTTGTGTCCACTCGGTTGGGTTCCCCTCCTTGACAGAGATGGACGTTTGAAGTTTCAATGATTTGGTTGGCGGTAATTTTTTTTATGAACCTTCAGTTGTTCAGTAGACTTTTCAAGTTCTTTTGCTGTTTCCAATGTAGAGTCTAAATCGCTTCCAAAAAGCAATTTTCCAATGGGAGTGTCTTTCAATGTTTCTTTGAAATCCTTATTCAAATTCAAACAGATTAGTTCTCTTCGTGAGACGGTTTCATTGTGGTGAACATCACATAATAACCGCCCTATGTCATTGAGAGACTATATATATTCCCTATTTGCCCCTCCCTCTTTTTTTAGCATCTCAGTGATCAAAAGAGAAATGGCTGAAGTGGCTGCTCCAACTTGTTGTTGAAGACGTGCTATACGTTCATCCCGACGGACAGCATTTACTGGTCAAGCTCTCTTGACTTCTGGATTTATTAAGGGGGGTTGAAGTTCTTGACAATTTTCTGGGGGGGGGGGGGGGGTATTTTTTGATCTTTCGTCTCTGCTGATAATCCAGTTCTAAGGATCTTTGACCAGCAAGCAGCCAATTCCGGTTGGATTGCAGCAGAAAATATTTTTTCCGAATCTCCCTAGACAGTAGTTATAATCCAGGCCCCGAAAAAAAAGGCAAAAAATACATACAGCCACACGACTGATAAGGTGACTACCACACTAGGTAGAAAAAACAGCAAGACAGGTTCTTCTGTCACTCTAGACAGATGGTTAGATTGTATGTACCACTACCACTCTAGGTAGGTGTACCACTACCACTCTAGGTAGGTTACTAGTATGTCAGACTCGGTCTTGTCACGCTAGACAATGTTCTCTCACACTAAAGAATTGCCACTCTAGGCAAGTGTGTGTATCGTCTATGGTAAAAATGTAATCATCAGCAAAAAATCAAAATTACAATACTCACTGTGGTTATTGTCCTTATCTTCGGATGCAGTGATGTGATCATGACTAGAATTACCACTGTGCTAACTTGAAGAATTCGTGGTATAACCGTCAGTGTGCGTGTGAGACGAATCCGATGAGTAAGAGGGTGATCCGGTACGGCGTCGTTTCCGAAGGTTTTCCAGTTTACTCAAGCGACGTTCAATCTTCTTCAAAACGGAGCTCAAACCAACACGATCGCGTGAGTGACTACGGCTTCTATGCCTCTTTGGCATTTTTGCAGATAAACAAAATATTTCCGAGAAAAAACGCGCAGAGCGATGTGATCGTGCGGCACAAAATAGTAGACTGAGAATTCCGGCGATGAGTACCAGCGGCGGAGATGCGATGAGTACCAGCGGCGGAGATGCGAGGGAGGGGGTTTGTTTACTTTAAACAGTGTGGTCGTTCGGGGCGAAATCAAGGATACTACACATCTTTATTTACGAGACGAGGCCTTCATATAATTGTTTTTTCTGAACAGGTCGAGAACGAATTAAGATATCAGCTCAAAATGTTTATGGTAAAATTAACATTATCAATTCACGAAGAAATTCTTCCAACACAAGCCAAACCAGGGGCGTAGCAATTGGACACTGTGACCTCTAAAAACGAACAACAGAAACTGTTTCTGTTACTCAGTTTTTCGCAATTGAAACTAGTAAACGTTTGGTGTCGGTAGTTGTACTCGTATAAAGTGAACTAGGACAGTAACGTCGCCAGATTAGACGTTCTAGGAGCTATAGTAGATATAATAAATACCATTTTTAATCAATTTGTGGCATAATGCTCCATCAACCTGACCGTGGTAGGTGTAACCTAGTGTAAAATTTCTTCCATATCAGACTAAGTGAGACAGATAGCAAGAACCAGAATTGGTGGGCGATCAATGATTATTTTCCTCAGAAGTAATAGCCTATTCGCGATATTTGACACATGTCCATTTGTAGGTATTGTTGGATCCTTCTGGTATCTATTTATATTTCGGTTCAATGCATATTTTCGAGAAAACCTTTTGAACCTACTCTCTCTAAAAACATACCAAAAAGCATGTGTTTTGCTACTCTTTCTACTCCTTACTTTTTATCAACCTGAAGGAACACGCAACATCACCTTAAACTCTGGAAATAAGGAAGAAATCGCGTATATTTTCAAAGTATTGCCAGTCTATGCCGGATATAAGGAAAATTCTCTCCCGAGTATGGCTTACAGCCATTGTCAAATTGCCTGTGAAATTGCAGTCGAATTTTGCTATTCTCTACGTCGGTGTGTATTAAAGTTTATAGAAAATGATATTAGGAGGGCGGCAAACTTTGTGGAAATAGTTACGCAGAACTTGAGTTAGAAGTGCACACTGGATGCTGCAGGATTGCGGAGAAATGTGTTGAACAGGAGATGCAATGTGCAGGTCTAAGTCACTCTCCTTGTATCCTTGTAGAGACTTCACTTATTATGAAATGTGTTAGACAAGGAGTTAAGCCTACAATAGTCAATGAAACTGATTGTGAGTCTCATAAGTTCTAGAACTCTTTTCGCAGGCCCACATCCTATAATACCTTTGATACTATAATTAATCCATGATTCTAATGAAACCTGTAGCAAAGTTCGTTGAGAGAAAAGAATCTAAGCTAAGTCTACTTCCCTCGCGCCACAAAGAGAATTAATTTCGATCCAAAGGTAGATTTTGGATTAAAAAATGCCTGCTAGCAATGATAATGTACTCATATTAGATCTACCAGAGTGTTATGTCCTTTTCTACTACACAAAATATTTTTTCCGTCCCTTGGTTAAACTTTATCGAATATATAGTCTCTTCAACGCGATAGCAATATGTTTATTTAATTATTATATAACGAGGTGCCAAAAATCTGCACTTGTTTAATATCGTCTTCGTCTTTGAATTCAACCCTACATAAAATCTTGTATCGACATGAGTCTGGAAAGTATAGGGGATGTGATAGAATTTTTCAGTCTAGCTCTGCGTCTTTTTAGTGGGTAAGCATTTCTCCTAAATGTTGTCGCCCTTTTTTCATGGAGTCATGGAGTGCTGACTCAAATTTATCTAATTGCTGACAACGCCTCCCCAAATTAATCTTTTCATTCGACTTCCACAGCTGAGTATGTTTTTTTCCTCAAATGTCCTGCAAAATTTTCTTGATGAGGCTCGAATTCGGTTTACAGGTGGAGAAACCAGGTTTTCCGTGTTCACAGTATGCTCTCGTCCTTACGAAAATATGACATGATACTCTCTTTTTATGTCTATCAGCCGATGCACGAGATGTTTGATTCTCCTGCCTGCGAACAGAGATATGCATGCCGTGAATCTGTCATAAGAGGTGCACTAGCTTTTACCCGCGGTTTCGAACACGTATATTTTGGTTTTATAGTAAAAATTAGTAATAAGGTCCCTTTGGGACTGTGACCCAAAAGGAATGTTGACAAAATTTTGCTACTAAAGTAAGTTAGTACCGATTTTACACTATATCAAGTATTTTATATATAATTCCGGAGTGCAGTGGTCATCTGAAGGCTTTATATGCCGTAGTCGATCACAAAAACATAATATTGTACTACCTCTGCCGACGTTATGTGGATCCGCCGCACAGTTAGGGCAAGCAGCACGGCCTTCTGAGGTCTGGAATTTGCTTATCTCTGATAACATGCTGATCATTTTGCGTTCGACTAATGAGAAGATAGCGAAACAAAGGGAAAATCTCAAGAATTCAACTGGGGCATAGCATCAAGATTTGGATATTGTTGAACTAAAAGTGGCCTACTATTTTATACTGCAGTTTTTGTATCAAATAATAACAAAATATTTGCAACTGATGCTACCGGAAAAGAGATATTTCGATGCGTGTTAAGCAAGGAAAGGTTTGCATTCCTTTTGGCATATCTACGCCCAATTTGTAGAAAAACGTCAGGAATTATATCCTTTAGGAGCAAACTGCTGCATAGATGAGATGCTGGTATCTTTTCCAGGAAGAAGCAATCTCAAAATGTTTATGCCCAGGAAACCATGTAGATACGGCATCAAAATTATTTGCATGACGGCTGCGCGAACCTAGTACTTTTTCAGTGGTAATATATATGCTGGTAAGGATTCTGATGGAATTGGTTTAGACAATACTATGAAAAACTTGCAAAACCAACGCAATCCGTATTAAGATTGGTGAAACCAATCGAAGGCACACACCGCAATATCACTGCTGATAACTGGTTTTCTCCTTTAGAAATTGTGGAGCATTTGAACACTTAAGAAAAATAAAAAGGTTGTTCCTGCAGATTTTTTACCAAAAAGAAGCAGAAAAGTTTGTAGGCAGGGAACATTAGTTGGTTTTATTGAAGAAATGGCTAGTTTCATATGTCCTGAAGAAAAATAGAGCTCTTATTCTCATATCGTTCATGCACCATTCAAAATTACCTGACCATGATACGGATAAGCCTGAAATTATAACTTACTATAATTCTACAAAGGGCGAACTAGATGCTCTAGATGAAAAATGTTCCAAACACTCTACAAGTCACCGCACTAGGAGGTGGCCTATAGTTTTGTTTTTTCGTGTCCTAGATATAAGTAGAATAGATGCTCATATTATCGATCAGAGTTACAAAAATAAAACTAAGCTATACAGATACTTACAGAAGAGCTAGTCAGGCCGGGTTTAGGAGGAAGCGCTGCAAACCCAAGAATTTCACGAGAATTACGAGCTTCAATACGAAGGATTTTGAATCTAACCGAAGAATGTCCAGAACCAGTTTTTACCGGGAGCCTTGAAAAAAGAAAGACGTGTTATACATGTCCTTCAAGGATAAAAAAGAAGACATTTCACCTGTGCTACTTATGTGCTAAACTAATTTGTGTTGAGTATTCAACAAAATTATGTCTTACATTTTTAGACTTTGAGATTTTTATGGAAATAAGGTTTTATATTTGTTATTGTTATTTTTTTCTAAGATTGGTTCTCAATATTAAGGATAATATATTTGATTTCCTTTTACACAAACCTTTTTTTGTCTAATATAGATTTCTAGCTATGCTTACTAATTTTCTAAAAAATAAATCTTGTCACACAGAAAATAAAATTTTGTTAAACGAAAGTGGCTTTTTATCAATCTATTCATTTGATTATTATTACGAAACTATAGGCATTACATAAATGTGAAAAAAAATAAATAAATATAAAAAATACTTATTTTTTAGTGGTATTTAATTAGCCCGGTCATCATGACCGCACCACACCAACCATGTCGCAAAATATGTACCACAGTAGTTAAGGGATGACGGTATTTATATTATTGTAAACACTCAACCTGTTGTAAATGTACATAGGTATAAGTATATACAGGGTGGCACATCGAAAACGAAACAGACGCATTTACTGGCAGCTCAGTTTTTTTTTGAAAAACGCTCAGACCCGTCGATTTTGTTTTCGAGGGGGACACAAGTTTGGCAAAAAATCACGTTAGCACGTGCAGCCCCCTAAGCGGGGGTTACACCACCCCCAAAATCTTAAATGGAAAGGGGGGTCGAGTGATACCTTATTTTAAAGGTCTTTCAATTCCCTTTATAATGATATAAAATTAATGTACTTCAGTTCAGTAGTTTTGAAGATTTATTGATTTAAAGCTTAAATAAAACTAATACATCACCATTAGTGGAGACCAATACATTTGGCAGCAAAGTAATTTAAAAATGAAGAATGAATTGACCCGTTAGGCAAGTAAATGTTGAAAATGGCCACCATAACTCTCCATGCTATAATAAAGATTTTGCTCAAAACGTTGCCGCACATTTTGCAATATTTGAGGAATAATTTGAAGGCATCCATCGACAATTCATTGTCGCAGGTCTTCTAATGATGTTGGCTGACTAGCATAGATTTTGCTTTTTGAATGATCCCACATAAAGAAATCCACAGGTGATAAATCTGGCGATCTTGGGGGCCATTCAATGGCACCTCTTTTACCAATCCATCGATCTGGAAACGTCTGATCTAAATATTGTCGAACACTTAATGCGTAATGTGGTGGGGCACCATCCTATTGGAACATCAACCTATTCGCAATGTACCGCCGATCATTCTGATTTTCAATTATGGCTGCTAATGCAGGACCTATCGTGTCTTCCAGTAATTCCAAATACATTTCACCGATCAAATTTCCAGGTAAGAAAAAAGGACCAGCTAAATGATCGCCAAAAATACCAGCCCAAACATTTAATTTTTGTGGCAGCTGTGTATGAACCTCATGATAAATTCTAGGATTAGAATCGGACCAATATGAGCAATTATGACAATTTACCACGCCATTTAAGAAAAACGAACATTCGTCGGAAAAGCAAGTGTTGAATAGAAAATGTTCATCGATTATAATTCATTCACTCATATCTTTACAAAATTGTCGTCGATCAAAATCGTCTTCATTAAGTTCTTGTACCAGGAGAACATATTTTCGATGCACGTTACTGTTCTCATGTCGCTCATTAAATATGTCTGCTGTTCTATTAGCGCACTGATTATTTCCGAAAAATATTTCGATAATTTGAATTCTTTCTGCTGTGGAATATACCATGGTTAATTTATGTAATAAAACGTTACAAGTTATTTTAGCAACAAAGTTTGGTCAAATCAATCGCAAACTATGTACTAAATTCCTATTTAAAATAAGTACGAGATATTTCCTTATCTTTCTTCAAGAAATAACTTTTTTGCCGCAAAAAAACGCTCCAATAGCTATTTTCAATAGCAAAATGATAAATAAACCATAAACGTAGTGAAGAAAATCATTTACTTATTAAGTAAACTCTTTTAGTCAAATATCTTCTGAAAGTAGTACAAACTAATCTGATGTACTTATTAAAGTCTTCTTTAAGCTTTAAATCAATAAATCTTCAAAAGTACAGAACTGAAGTACATTAATTTTATATCATTATAAAGGGAATTGAAAGACCTTTAAAATAAGTTGTCACTCGACTCCCCTTTCCATTTAAGATCTTAGGGTTGGTGTCACCCCCGCCCAGGGGGCTGCACGTGTTAACGTGATTTTTTGCCAGACTTGTGTCCCCTCGAAAACAACATCGATGGGTCTGAGCGTTTTTCCAAAAAAAACTGAGCTGCCAGTAAATGCGTCTGTTTCGTTTTCGATTCGCCACCCTGTATAGATATGTGCACGATAGAGAATCGATGACTAATAGCTTTGGTACAAAAACCTAGCGCAACGCTACCCACTTTGAAGAAATGCTGCAAGCATTACCGTGGTGAGATGTGTAGCGACCGACTGAGGGGTATTAGTGAGTATGCCATGTCTGGAGAATCTCACACTTTGGGCAGGAAGGGCGGGCAGGGCAATACTATCAAGTATTTTTGTCTGAGAGTGCTATAAAGGTTTTGACATGTCAAAAAATTATAAATCAGAATGTCTTACATTACCTGATGTTGCAAAAATCGGAGTCGTCGCTAATATAAGCTGATCTTCATTGTACTTAATTGTACAGGATTTTGGGTCAAACACCATCCGCTTCTCATTAACGCTGATCGGCTTTTTGTACTAGTCACACATATGCTCCGATGACCCTTTGTGTGGAAGATGTAGGCATCGGATAAGCGCTTAATATTTATGAATGGCTGCCAGCAGAGACGCTTCCAAAAAACCATCGAAGAAATTCCTTGGCGGATGTAGGATTTTTCATGAGATTGTCGTGTCTTTGTGTCGCCAAGACGGGACACGGATGCACTTTCCATTAATCAACGCTACCGGAGCACCAGATTTTTTACTCTACTTCCATTCCACGTCGCTTATCAACTGCAATGAAGGAAGGAATGGGAGACTCACCAAAGAGTTTTCCCTGGATGTGCTGTTGCTAACAAAAGTATGGAAGTTTGCATCAGTTAGGTTTTAATCCATATTAAACTTAGTATCTCCGAACGTATATTTGTTTATAATTGAAACTCCAAACAAGCCACTTATCTCCAAGCCCCGAGCATTGCGAAGGAAGTATTGCAGTCATAAAAGTGATAAACTACGTGACACTCATTTCAATCTTCTGTTCATTGGTCTCTCCGTTGGAATTCCACTTGACTCAGAATTTTGTAACAGTCAACAGAAATTGTTATAAACGTATATTTTGTAAAGCTGGAATCATATACAACCCCGTATGGAACTTTCACCTATTTGTATCGAATCTCCGAGTAATTTTAATACCAGTAGCTCATTTTGTAGTGGCAGGGAAAAGCTATTATAGCCACTCTCAAGGAGAAAGCTCGGCATTATTTTCCTGTCGCCGTTACCTACTCGAAGTGTGAGAATCTCTAGGAATGCATCACACTCACTAAAACCTTTAGTCGTGCGTTGAGCATAGTTTTCATACCACATCACAGATATTATCTTATTATCTTATCTCAGCGTCGTACATATACATAAATGCACGTACCTATGTCCATCTACATACAACCAAGCAAGTAGAAACCTACTATTGGTTCCTTGGTCAGTTCTTATCATCATGTGCCCTGATCAGCGTCATCCGCCCCGCTGTTGGTTGAAGGTTAACCCATTTGCCCTTGCTTATATGCCTGGTAAAATTGTTAGCATCACGCCTCTCGCCGAGCATTAATTCTCCGGTAATCAGCCTGTCCACCAAATTTTTCGGGTATATATTTAGGAGTATTCTGCTCCTCGTGGCTATATACGCAGGTAGTGTTCTTTATATCTGTTCTACGCTCTTCAGGTAGCTGTCAAAACAACCATATTGTGTGAGGAACTGTGTAGCATAGTACCGCATACTTCTTCACCGCTGCCCTTGTCAGTCCATTTTTTTATATCTGGAATCAGCTTTCTATTCCATGCACCATGGCGAGCTGCAACCCTTCTCTACTGCCATCTAACTAACAAAAGGCCTTCATCGCCTCTAACTTCGGAGCTCTTTTTGTTGAGCGTACATCTCCAATCAGCCAGCAAATTAATTGACGGATACCAGCCACCACCAGTAGCGCATCGATCGACACCTTTCTGTGAGCGCTGGCTTCAAGTCAGTGGTGCGCCTTATATGTTCAGTCATTATCAAAGCTTTGTCGAGCCATACCCCTAGATACTTGATAGCACCTTACGAAGATGGGCAGTCTCATCCCGAAGCCAAATTTAGGATCATTGAGAAGTGATACAATCAATATTCTTCAAATCATCAGCTAAGAGGTATATCATAACATTTATTAGTCATATTCAGGTTTGGTCAGATTTAAAATGACATTGAAGGTCTTTAAAATCGACGCACATTGTTTAAAACGTTAAGACTACTCATAAAACCTTAAAGCAATTGCTTTTCAAACAATACCTTGTTTTGGGGTGGTGAAATATTAATTGTTTCACTGAGAATTCGAGAACATCCCATATTATGTATTAATATAAAATATAATAAGATCCTGGTACTTTCGACGCGTACCTGCTAAGTTAGGTAGACGCCTAAACTCAATTTTTCAAACATACTTTGTAAACCTTAAGCACAAGCATAAACAAAAAGGGTGCTTTTAGAACGTTTACGTTGATTCGGTTATATAGGTATGAATATGATAAATTAGGAAACATCAAGTAAATTTGAATCTCGGTTTGTTAACACTTTAAGGTTAAAGACTGTCCAACTTTCCCGCCCGTCGAATTTATAGGTGTTGGATAAAATAACTCATCAAACAATATGGAGAAAACCATTTCTTGATCTGATTATACAAATTCCAAATTTTGTCCCTTCTAAATGCGACACCTCTGAATGAATGACCATTTGTACTGTTTCTTGATCAGAATAGATCGACCGAGAAGAGCGGATACTCAGTTATGTGCTTGGGCTTAGGGGTTGAATTCTTAATTTCATTTCTGGTTATGAGTCCAGCAAAGATTTCAGACAGTCGCTAGTTAGTATTTTATTTTCTCAAGAAATCATTGCAATGGTTTTATCTTAAAGAGCAAACAAACGGGTTTTCTTAAGCTCTCGATAATCAGTTCTTTCATTTCGTAGACACACTCGTAGTTCAGGTCCTCTTAACCTCAACCGAGTGTCAGAAAAGCCTTCAGTTCAGATCTCCTGTCTGACACTCTTGAGAGTGGAGTACCTTGAACAGTGTTTAAAGAGATAAGGTCATAGTTTTTTAATATGCTTCTGATCAGTTTTCAAATAATAAATATGCAACTAAATTGTCAAATCAACCAAGTGAATTGACCTTAGTAAGCGCCGACAAGATGTCTTTCCAGCCGAAGATAGTAAACAGGTAAGTTACTTGATGTCTTCTTCACAGAACGCTACTCGGTTTGTTAGTACAGTGGTCGGTGGCCGGTAGCGTAGCAAGATGAACGAAATTTGTGTGGCGGGATCTTGGACACGATTACTGGCAGGTTGGCGACAGCTGTACAAACAGGGCTACTATGTAATAAATTAATATTCCGTCTTATCAGCGGTTTCCTCTACTCAGCTCCAACCAAATGTCAGTTACTACGCACGAGTGACTATTTGTCGCGAACTTTGGATGTTCCTGTCAGATATTTGCTGTTTTTGCCCTCTTCCCATAACTTCAAAGAGCTCAAGCTTTTCATGTTGCCCTCGTAGCAGCATTCCGAAGTTGAGCAGTAACTCATTTTATGCAAATTGTTTAATTTATGCTCATAGTTTAAATAAATGGTTTAGTGATAAAAGTTGTGGCAACTTCGGCACGATGAAGCAGCCGCTAGGCTTTAGCTTTGGGAGTAAAGCCAACGAGGGTAAATTCGGTTAACGAATACACAAAACTGCATGTTAATTCAGTACGCGTTCCAAACAAGACAAATTTGCTATGTTAACCAGAACATCCGACAGGAATATATATATATATATATATATATATCATATTCGTGTTTTGCGGTTCTAGCAGATGTCGAATATCAGGCATTAGCGTCACACCGCCGTTACAACTTTGAACATAAACATAGCGTTGTCTCTTATTATGATTATTGTACAGAAGAGATTTAGAGATGCTACTCCAGGTGTGGTTTTATCAGATAACCTAATAAGTTCGTTTGGTTTTTGGTAGAAAAATATAAATTTTTATTGAGAATCAATAAGACACTTCGTCGAAGTAATTACCATCATATTCAATGACCTTTCACCTCGTGGAACCAATTTTTGTATGCCGGTATTGTAGAACTGCCTGGATTTGGAGTAAAAAAATTGGCGGACTGCATTTATTTCACCATCTCGAGTTGTGAACTGTCGGTGTTTGTACTCGTTGTAGCTGCTCACACTACAAGTTAGCAGTGATGGTTTCCAAAACCTCATAATGGACAATTCCGGTTGCTGTCCACCAAACACACAACAAAACCTTGTTTGGGTGCAAGGCAGCCTTGGGCGTGTGTGGTACCTAATCAGTAGGCGACAACCAATGATACGAACCCTTAGAGTTTGAATACAAGATCCATTTTTCGTCGCAGTTTAATAACCGATTAAGAAATGGTTCAATAGCGTGGCGTGAAATGCTTGCTGAACAAATGGTAAGACGACTTAATTTTTTATCATTTGTCAGTTCATGTGGGACCCATTTGCTTAACTTCCACGTCTTTCCTAGCTGATGAAGACGCAAACGAATAGTTTTAGGACTCACTCTGAACATTTCTGCAAGTTCTTGGCACGTTGTCCTGGAATTTGCGTTTACAACCTGTCGAAGATCCTCGTTGTTCATGATTTTTGGTATTCATCGCTCAAACTCTCCCAAAGAAACTTTTTAACCACTTCTGTGCTGTTCGATCACAAACGGCATCATCTCCGAATGCGGTACATATTTTTCACAAAACCGCTCCAGCTTTTCTACCAAGTTTGTACTCATACCGGTCCCTGTTGAACACCCGCGTCGACTTTGTGGAATGAATAACAGGAGACCTGATCATCCGGAGAGAAAGTCATCCACTGATGTTCAAAGCCTATCTGGGAGGCCATAGAATTGAGGGTTGCTGTCGATAACAACAGTGCGCAGCTGATCGAAGGTCATTGCAGTATCAACAGAAATGACCACACCAAATGATCTAATAAGCCGACTCTACAACTGTACTACATAAACTAGGAGACCCTCGGTATATTGTTGATATCGATAGATGTTCTTCTATCCTTTATTGGGTGCTGTTAAATATGAGCAAACATACGAGTATAAACAAAATACTGATAGTATGTTACGAATAAACAGGAGCGAATGGTAGCATATTCATGTGCACATCTCCCCTATATGACAGTAACAGCAAGCATATCGGCACCAGCAGCGGTTTGCTGCCAACCCCATACTGTGACAAACTTGATATCAACAGCACCTTGGTGTTAATTGAGTTAGTCGCAAACATCCTAATAAGTACCACAGCTTCAGCATGGAGACGATTACAAACCTTCCGTTCTGGAATGTCAGCGGCTACAGGTTTTCTTAAATCCGGCTTTGTAGCTTCTCGAAGAATCAACTGCCATTGCGATTCAGCCACCTATATGCTTGTATATGTTCATATTGACAGTAGGTCTGAGACATACGACTCTTTTCTCTGAGCTCGCACATATCGTTCATGTCTTTTCAGCTCGAAGCTCGAAGCTGACGAGAGTATTGTGTTGCCTATAGTAACGACTCACTCAGTCAGAGAATGTACATCATATTATGAAAATGAAATGAAGGGTTAGGGTTGCCGATGTTATTGTATTTATTTAAGTATCAATATTTTTGGTTTAAATTGAATGTAACGAATGTATACATTCTTCCGAAAAAAGAAGGGACATGTGGTTCGGTTTTGAGGAATTACCGAATTCTGTATCAAAATGCAATTTTTGCTCTCAAATCCCATCATTTCAACATATAATTTAAATAAAACAATAGGGTTCCCTAGATTGTGTCTGTTGTCAGTTCGCAGTTCAGCTGCTGGATACTGCAGACGTGCAGACACGTTTTGCACAATTAAACGAGTCATATGTAACAAAAGAGTCGTTCAGCCATCGCTCACATAGGTGAGTCGTTCAATTTGAACGACTCGTTCGCGAACGACACATGACTAGACAGCGTCACCTATGAGCCACTAACCTTCTCAAATCATTACAAAATCTGTGACAAATACTCTTACATGACGCTGCGGTAACTCATTTTACATCGGATAATTAACGTTTTGGACGCGGGTATATGCCATTGGGTCGCAGAGCTTGGACGGAAAATTATGTGACCTTCCCCTTATTCTCCACACCTAGCAATCTCAAACTATCACCTAGCGCTGCACGATTTTTTGTAGGATACGAATTCAAAAACGAAGACGATATCCAACGAAAGCACCTCGGGATAAGATGTTTTATAAAAATTGAATATATAGATGCCCATCACGAGAACATAAATGATGATGACCTTCGGGCATTTTGACTTAGATAAGGGCGCGACTTTCTGGCAGAAGTAATGGTTTCACTGTGGCAGAGCTGTGAAAATGCCTTAGCAAAGGATGAGTTATGGAAGTCAGAGCTCACCATACTATTCTGCCAGATAACTGTATCGTTTATCTGTCACCGACTGATTACGTTAAATTATAGTTGTATATCAGAATCGCGTCCAATTACAGGTTTAGAGACAAGAAAGAGCAGGCCTGCAACCCTTCGACTGACTCTGAAATGCAAAATAACGCTATCTGTTGCAGAATCTCGTCATCAAAAAAGTTTACGTGCACACTGTAATTTACAGCTACGATTACCGCTAATCGTAAAACGAATGTTCCCGTAAATCTTGACTTATTATAAAAGCTATCAGATAAAAGTGGCAGTATAGTATGTGCGCTCTACTTTTTGCTGTTGGCACCGTATTTCAGGATATTTTCTGATGGAGTGATAGTGACCACGCTTGATTGCGGGTTATCTGGTCGAGGTAGGGTTGTATAATTTATCACGATGGTAAAATTGACGGAGAGACGACTACAATTGATGAATAATTGGATGTTTATGAGTGCATAACTATTGTTAGACACTAAAGCTATAGTATCAATGCCTTCTAACCATACGCCCATGTCACGGAAAGCAATGGAAATTATCCTGCTACCAACGCCAGAAATGGATATACGTGAGAAGTCGTTCTACAAAATGCTTACAAGCACGGGATAACTTAAATCTAAGAAGCCATTAAATTACAGTAAAATACAAATATGGAACGGTATAAAAACCACCACAACCTTCATGGTCAAATGCATCCAGGAAGACAATAGCGCGTTTATCTGCTTTAAAAATTAATACATTGCTTTTTCTCGTCAGAGCTGCTTTCCAGTAGCCCTGTTGAGTTATTAGTAACTATAAGTAACTCAGAAACGTTCAGCACCAATACCATTCCTCTGTACGAGTACGTTGACTTGCATGCATTGTTCCTGGAGCAGTTCTGGAGCGTATCACTCTCAAACCAAAAACCACTGGAAAGCAACTGTTGAAAGAAAGGTCTGCTTGTCTCGTTCAGTATGTCAGGCCGCAGCCCTATCTCATCCTGATGACATTCGTAGCGCTACAAATCTTGACCATTAAGTGAGAAACGCACTGCAAGAACTCCGCAACGAACAATGGAGCGACTTTCTGGCGGGAATGCTTGGTTCTAGTATTCCTTTCTGGAGGGTCGCAAAGCCACTCAGAAACGGAAAGCGAGAACAACTCCCGCAGATCCATGGTCCTGAAGGCATAGTCTTCAGAACGGAGGATAAGGTCGAGGTTTTCGCTGATGCCATGGAAAAACAGTTCTCTCCCAACTATTATCTTGATAATGACCTCGACGAGGAACAGTACATCGTACGATCCGTCAGGAGATATTTTAGGGCCAACATAGCACATTAGCGGAACCCTCCGGGTTTCCACATTGCACACCAGCGAAGCTCCTAAGTCATATTAAAGACCTCAAGGTGCGTAAAGCACTGGGGTGGATCAAATCACCAACAAAGCGTTGAAGCTGCTCTCGCCGAAAGCCCTGATATATTTGGTGACAATAATCAATGCGACGCTCAGAATCCGGTACTTTCTTGCTGGGTGTAAGACTGCTGAGGTCGTCATGATGCCAAAGAAGGTGGGTTCGATATTCTCTCAGGGTTACCGTCTATCTCTGCCTCTCGATGGATACACCACTATTTTCCAGGCGGAAATCTTTGCGATTGTGGCTTGCGTATCTCACATTCTAGAGGAGGGTGGGCCTAGGAGAAGAATAACAATCTTATCCGACAGCCAGGCTGCAATGAAAGCACAAGTGCCTGTAAGGTTACTTCGAGTCTTGTATTGCAATGCAGGGAGGCACTGGATTGCCTCGCAGCGAGGCATCAGGTATCGTTAATATGGGTACCGGGGCACGCTGGGATAAGGGGCAATGAGACGGCGGTCACTCTGGCGAAGACAGGATCAGCCAGCAAGCTTGTTGGTCCTGAGCCAGCTCTAGGAGTGACCGCGCATAAAGCTAGGAGGAAAATGGAGACGTGGGTTGCAAGACAACACTCTCAGAAATGGAGAAGTATCTCCAGACATCTCCGCCAGGCACGGGAACTCATTGAAGGGCCCAGTGCTAAAGATGGAAGCTTCTGCCTATCTCTGGATAGAGCCAACCTAAGGTTGCTGGTGGGACTGTTGTCTGGCCATAACACGTTAAGGCGTCACCTGCACGTGACGGGGGTAGCTGAGGATCCCTAGTGTGAACGCTGCGGAGTAGGGGAAGAGACCTCGGCGCACGTTTTGTGTCGCTGTGAAGCTCTGAGCTACTATAGGCAGACTATACTGGGGTCCATTACTTTGGACCCTCAAGACGTCAAGGAGCTTGGACTCAAGGCGATTCTCAACTTCGCTAAAAGGGCGAGGCTTATGATCTGAGGATTGTAGAGGTGCATAAGGGCCCGCTTAAGCGGCCTAATCACTGGCTCCTTATGGTGGCCGGAATGCCTCTAATTTCAAGATTCATTCATTCAACCGTCCCATAAGTCAGCTCCTTCTAAGCTCGCCGAAAAGGCCTTGAGAATTTTTCGTCAAATCACCATGTGATTCCCAACGTTCAATTCGGTTTTCGGTCCGAGCATAGCACCGAGCTACAGGCAGTCAGGCTGGTGGAACATGTAACCAGCATGAGTACTGGCATCTTGCTTTTGGATGTCTCAAAAGCCTTTGACAAAGTGTGGCACGCGGGCCTCCTTTATAAACTAAGGGTTTTCCTTTTTGACTTCTAAAATTACTGAAATCCTGTCTTGAAGGAAGGAAGTTTCGGATCAAAATTAACAATGTTTTGTCAACAACACGGCCAGTACGGGCCGGTGTTCCTAGGTGGTCCTAGGACCAATCCTTTATTCGCTTTTTATCCATGATGTCCATTGCCTCAGCAACTGTGAAGTGTACCTCTATGCTGACGACACTGCACTTATCGCCCAGTCATCTACTGGTGATCTGGTTTACGATGGGTGGCAGAGTGCGGTGGCAGAAGTACTAGAGTGAGCGGAACGGTGGCTGATTAAAATTAATCATTCGAAAACGCAGTCTATTTATTGTACCAAAAAACGTCGCGGCCGCCCAGCAGAGGTCTCTGTAGACGGCAATCGTGTACCATGGATAAATCCTGCCAACTACCTCGGTGTCACCCTCGATAAAGGCATGACCTGGCAGAAACATACAGCAGCCTTGAAAAGAAAATTCCAAATTGCGTTCCGGTAACTATATCCTTTGTTATGTAGATCCTCCAAATTGAGTTTGATAAACAAAGTTCGCCTATATAAAATGATTATTAGACCAGCCATTACTTACGCATGTGCGGCTTGGTGTTTTCTTGCCAAGACACATATGCAAAATCTTCAAGTACTGCAAAGTAGAACTTTGCGAACAATTTGCAACGCTCCATGGTATGTTTCAAACGAGACACTACACAGAGGCCTTGACATTCCTTTCTTGAGGGATTATGTCAAACTTCAGGCCCATGCGACGTTATAGTCAAGCGGAATCGCACAGCAGCCCTCGGTTGCGCGACTCAGTGGACTACACAGTGGAGTAAGTGCGTAAACATTCAAGGCCACGGCTCGCACTGTGATCAAAAACTAGCGCGAACTTTTAGTAAACTTAAAATTATACTCTAACAAAACCGAATCAAAATTTGTTTAGTTCACCTCAAAATTGATCCGTGTACCAAGTCAAGATTCCTAGGTGTCTCCTCTTAAACTAAACACTTCTGTTTTTCTTTGCTCTTCTCCATTTTTCTTCTCTTTCCCTTTCTCTTTTTCCTTGACATTGTCTGGTTTCTAGGCAACCAGTTCCAACACATTCGACTAACCTACATTAGACAGTGTCTAATGGGCAAAGGTCCTACGGTCCGCCCAGACTAACAAATGACTAATAGTACGCAGCCCTATCACTAATTTCTGTCATTTGACTTAAAAATGCGAATGTTTTACATATTTTGAGAAATTTATAGTGAAGGGGGATGTGATGTCTTCAGGATCACGCCTCATACATTATTACAATCGAAGTTCACAGGTGAGTTCCTTTGATTTTGTTTGTTCGCGATGAATGATAGCATATTATACCTTAGCTCCAATGTAGTAGTAGTAGTCCTTTATTTAGAAAAAAAAAATCCTAACTTCAACAGCAACAACAACTGGTAGCATTACAGCATTTCACAAGTACATACATATATATTCAATTATAATAAATTTAGCAAATTCTGTCAGATCTTATGTGCTTGATAAGTGCTTTCTTGAAATACCCGACTGAGTCGGCGTTTTCTATCTGCTGGGGCAACTTATTGTATTCACATAGACCTTTGTACATTATTGTTTTCATTGTACTCTTCATATTTGTTTTATTTACATGGAAATGAGTACACGTCCTAGTGATATATGAATGGATCTCAATATTTGGGCGTAGATGCGCACCTAAATAATTAGGTAATGTTCCCTTCGCAATTTTATAAATAAATAGCATTGCTGTTAAATAAAGATGTAGATTCACCGATAACCACTGTAGAGTATCCAGCATATATTCAATTCTTGTATACCTACAGCACTGTAAAATTATCCGCATTCCAATATTTTGAAGTTTTTGCCTATTTTGTTCTTGCTAAAGAAATATAATAAATGAACAGTACTGAAAATGAGGTTTTATTATTGTATTGTAAACCGTAATTCTTGCAAACATTGATAGCTGTTTAGAAACTCTTGAAAAAAAATAAAGTTTCTTTGAAATTTTCTTAATAATCTAGTCACTATGGCTGTTAAAGTTTAGGTTTTTATCCAACATAAATCCAAGGTATTTCATTGTATCAACTATATCAAGAACTGTCTTTTCAATTTTAATTTGGATATTAGCTTTTATTATATTCTTGTTTTTACTTCTGCTTGATATTACCATTGCTTTTGATTTTTGAGTGTTCAACTTCAATTTGTTCATTTTTAAATATGTATCAATGTTTGCAAGGTCACTGTTCACAATATCGATAGCCTCATTCAGGTTTTTGCAGGCTGAGTACACAAGTGTGTCATCGGCAAATAGATTTATGGAGCTACTTCTCTGAACAAGTTCCATATCATTCAAATATATTATAAAAAATAATGGCCTCAAAACACTACCCTGAGGAACTCCAAAACGTACAGAAATGGTTTCGGAGATAGAAGGACCAATCTTAGTCCTTTGACCTCTGTCACTCAAGTAACTAATTATCCATCTCAGGACAGTGCCTCCAATTCCACCTTGTTTTAATTTATCTATCAATCTTCGTCTATCTATTGTTTCAAATGCTCTTTTGAAATCAAGGAAGACTGAAATTACATAGTTATTGTCATCAATAAGTTTCCTCCAATCAGTTACTGTAATTTGAATAGCAGTTTCACAAGAGTGACCTTTTCTGAAGCCCGATTGCTTAGCCATGAGAAGATCATTGGTTTCAAAATATTCAACAATTTGTTTATGGGCACATGTTTCCAAAAGTTTTTCAAGAGGTGGCAAAGTATTTCTAGGTCTAAACTCAGATGCTTCTATGGAATTAGGTACTTTAGGAATGGGCGTAACTGTGCTTACTTTTAATGCATCCGGGAAAACTCCATAAGCTAGTGAAGTGTTGATAAAATTCAAGATTACATGACCAGTCGAGTGCAAAGTATTTTTAAGAAGTTTGGTATTCAAAATATCTTCACCGTATATTTTATTTTCAAATGAAAGTATAATTTCTTTCAATTCATTGAATGATATGGATCCAAATTTCAGGAACGTAGTTGCACCACAAGATAGATCATTATCCACATATATATTATCAGACTGGATACTTTTTACAATGTCACAAATACTGCTAACAAAGTAAAGGTTGAAATTATGAACTATTTCCACTTTACATCTGGAAATAACTTTTTGATCATTCAGATAAAAAATTATTCTATCGAAAGTAGTAGCTCCTACCGGCTTTATTAAAGATTTCAAAATTTTCCACATAGTTTTGGGGTTACGTTTATTCTGATCAATTTTTTCCTCAAAATATTGTCTTTTTTTCATCTTTAACAAGTTAACATATTTATTTCTGAACATCTTGTATTTCTCCCACTGATTATGTTTGTCAATTGGGTGGCCACTTTTCCTAAATTGTTTGTAGGCAAGATCTCGCTCCCCAGCCTTTTTTTTGAGTTCAATATCGTAGTAGGGAACCTGGTCACCTCTCACTGACAATGAGAGCTTAGATGAATTTGCATTAACTGCCTGAGTTATATTCGCCCGTAAATTCTCATAAATTTCGTTGACATTAATACTATCCGTTGACCAGTCACAAAACAACAAGTCTATGTTTATTTTTAGTAATTCCTCGTCTTTTAAATTTCTTATTTCAACCGTTTTGACTGTTTTGCTAGCAATATTTGAAAAGACACTAACAGATACAATAGAATGATCCGACAACTTTAGTTGATCGTTCACCTTAGCCTCAATGTTCCCATGATTAGAAACAACATAATCTATCAAAGACATGCTCATATCAGTTATCCTTGTATAGTTAGTGACCAACTGCATTTACTCACAGAGAAGTAATCATCTAAAACGTCTTCCAACGTATCAATAAAATCAGCATCACTTGCACTAGGACAGTAATAAACGCCACCAATTGTCCACTTTTGACCTCTCACTATCACATCAATAAAACAAAACCAATAATTCGGATGACTAATGATTTTCCTTTTGACTTGATATTCAATTCCATCTCCAATATAAAAGACAGTTCCTCCTATGTGTCTGCTGCTACTATCACAACGTACTAGTTGATAACCTCTGATAGTTAGCTCTGAATCCTCAATATCTTCGGTAATTCTTGCCTCACTAAGTATAACAAATAACTTCTGCTTTTATTATGTCAATTTTTGGTAATAAGCTTTCAATGTTGAGGTATATGATATCTTGATTATGTAAAATATGCTTTGAAACATTAAATAGCTGTGTGGTCAGTTTTTTTATGTGTGAAAATCCTTTGGCGCATCATGAAAAGCGCTTTCATCCAAAAAGCGCTGACCTTTCAAAAAATTAAAACTTTCAAAAGTAACTCCCTGAGGCCATAAGTTGGGTTCATACACTTTCACCTCGAGCAATTGATCAACACCAACTAGAAAACATTTGTTATTCGAGCTGCGGTGATATGTAGCAACCACTTTAACTTGTATTTTTGTTTCATCTGAACTTGTCTTTGTTACAGTAAGTCTCTTAACGTTTTCAGTATTAGTAGAGTCACTAATACGCTTAATAGAAATCCAAATTTTCTTATCTTTATTTAGTGCTGATCCAATGAATCCAAAGACTTGTCCATCTGGATTATCCCCTATTTTAGGAAGTGGTCTATTACTCCTCTTACGTTTGGCTACTTGGAAGCCATCATCAGTTTTGCCCACTTCTTCATACCTATTACCTCTGATCTGGTTTTCTTTAGCAAAATTTTCTTGTGGTTTTTTTGTACTACCTGAGTTTATATAAATTAAATTTTCCATAGTGGTTCTTTGTTTTTCTTCAAGCATTGCAATGTTTTCAACGCTTTGTTGATTGTTTGGACTTGGGGATCTTTTTGAAATCGGCTTATTGGCATTAAGTTTTTTTGAATATGTGCCTTTGGCAGCTGAGGTCGACGGCTTATAGATGTCGGAATTCTCCTTAGTGACATTATTTTGTGCATAGTTTAGTTTTTCAAGTTTTCGTTCAACTGCGCCCTCCAGTTGGTAATATTTATCTTCAATCGGTTTTTGCATATTCATTATGAGCACAGCATTTTGTTTTTCAAAAGATGTTATCTTACTTACGTTTTCTTCCAATGTTGTTTTCAGGCAATCCCTAATATCATTCATGCCTGTATCTTCTACTTTTCTATGGTGTGCACCACTTTCTTGAGATTTAAGTTCACATTCAGGGCAAGCAAAGATCAATCTTCTTTGCCCAGAAAGCTCCATCACCCTGATTTCAGTGGGGCATAGTCCTGTGCATTTTTTGCATATAGGCTTTTTGCATAAGTCACAACAAAACATGCCCCTACTTTCAGAGGAGCAAGACAATAAACACTTGCTGCAGTTTATTTCCATGATTCAGAGTTACACCTTCGCACGTCACTGGTACAGAAGCATGGAAAACAAATCAAGTGTTTAGTTTTTGTTCCTGACAGATATTTTTCTACTTGGGAATTTGAAGATGAATATTATCAAATAGATACTTCCTGATGTCACAAAAAACATATTTTGTGCTCTTTCTGGAACAACTAAACTTCAATAAATAACTGTTATACTACTGCATAATTTTTGAGTAATTTATACCACTTAATTTTTGATTTTCAACGGAGTGAAAGAATGCGCGTGTTTATGGCTAGCTATTAGTAGTAACAGTGTTAGAAAACAATTAAATTAGTACTCACTCCTCTGCCGGTACATTATCCTGGACATGATTCTTTGTGATCAGGAGCCTTTTTGCTCGGACAAAACTACGCTCTCGATTTGATACAACCTGGCAAGCGAGGCACCAAAAGCACAATGACAGAATTTAGTGACAGGTCTATCAGACTGGCTGGAAGAATGAGCAGGGCCAACTTTTATTTAAACTTAGTGAGCAAACGCAGTAACATTATTACTAAATTTAAATAACATGTACTAAATTTAATTAACCGTAAAAAAGGGATATATATATATATATATATATATATCCTTTTTAAATAAGAAAATTAAAATTTATTATGTTCAACCAAAAAAAAAATAATTTAATGTAACAGGCAAATAACTTTTCCAAGCCAAATATATTAATTTACACTTTAAATCACTGAACAACAAATTTTAGTTTTTTAATTGTATCTTGTGGGAAAAGTGCACTTCTTTGTTAATTTTGGGGCGCTGAATCCAAAAATGACAATGAAATAAAAAAATTAGTTGCGGTTTAGAAAAAAACTTTTTATTTTTAAGGATATATTAAAAAAAGTAACAAGATTCGTATACTTATAAGAATCACTATATGCGCTGTCTTTTTGCTGTTTTTTTATGGATCGTTTCTGGAGCATCTCTACCAAGAGTCCAACAGTAGTCTGCAAGCATGGAAGGATTCCACTTTCCCTGGTACCTTTTTTCCATTGTTGAAATATCCTGATGAAAACGTTCGCCGTGCTCATCACTTA